CAAAGAATTTGTCCTTGGCTTATGCTCTAGCAATGTTTAATTGCTAATCATTAATAGATGGTGCTCAGCAATGGAAAGTGCTTTGCAGCATCTTCCTAAATACATAACACTGTTAAAAATAGTTTTTTATTTTAAAAAATGGTTTGGTTCTAGACCCCATCATACATAGATTAAATCTACTGGCTAAAGAAGAATTTCACTGAAGAATTTCACTGATTTCACTGAGCTTATTCCAGATAAGATAGTTTTGGAATTATTTTTATGTCATACAGTCTTTCTATGCATATTTATTTGTTTCATAGTATATACCAGAAGAGAGAAGTAGTATATGGAGGACTAAACAAAGTTGATGAACTTGTTTGCCAAGTATAGCTGGAATGTCCAGTCAATTTAAAGGAATGTATATTTGGAATGTTGTCTATTCCAAGGTACAGCCATCTGTAAATAGATATTATCAAAAGGGTTGGTGTTAGGATAAACAATAACTTGAAGTGCACAGTTTGTTTATTATTTAACATTCTGGATAAGAGGCAGGATTTATCACATGCTTATTAGCACATGCTTAGTCAGCCAACTAATTAAAAAATAAAGTAAAGGTAAAGGTTCCCCTTGTACATACATGCTAGTCGTTTCCGGATCTAGGGGGCAGTGCTCATTTCTGTTACAAAGCCGAAGAGCCAGTGCTGTCCAAAGACGTCTTCATGGTCATGTGGCCGGCATAGTTAAATGCCAAAGACACATGGAATGCTGTTACCTTCTGTTGTGGTCCACTGGCAGCCTATGGAGCTGGCAGCAGAGTCAGACAGTTGGAAGGAACATGGGCCAGTTCTGGAGTCTGGGGAGGACTCGAATGAGGGATCTGTGTCCAACACAGAAATGGGGCCAGGGCCATCTGAGAGTTATGTGCTGACTCTGGAGCCTCCAGAAACACCAGTGAGGCAGAGGAACAGGGAGCCTGTTTCCAGTGTGCACTTGCACAGAGCTGACAGAAGGCAAGAACAGTTAAGACAAAAAAGGGAGTAAGGCTTGGAGATGGTTGGCCCCTCCCATAAGACATAAAATAGGAGCAAAGGGACTTGAGCCTTTGCAGGAAGCAACTTTGTTCATTCTGGTTGGTTTAAAATCTGAAGCTCTGTGTTGACTTTGTGCTCCGTTTGGCCTAGTACAGCTAATTGGCAATTTAGTCATTGGCACATTTCAAGGGAGATAAAGGTGGGTGCTTCTCAGCCTTATCTTGAAAGACTGTGGTAGACTTCCGTTGGACTATTCATAAACTGTTTAGGACTCATTACGGACTGTGAATGTATATAATTCACAGCCGTTGAAATAAAAAAAGATTTTGGGGAACAGCGTGTGATTGTTACTGTCCCAGGAAGCCTTAGTCAGAACACCTTCCCACCAAAGTGGTCTCTATTTTTCTACTTGCATTTTTACATGCTTTCGAAGTGCTAGGTTGGCAGAAGCTGGGACAAGTAATGGAAGCTAACTCTGTTATGTGGTGCTAGGGATTCGAACCGCTGAACTGCCAATCTTTCTGATCGACAAGCTCAGTATCTTAGTCACTGAGCCACTGCGTCCCCCCTAAAAACAGAAAAAATTAAAGTTAAAAAATAGATATCCCTAAGGCACAATTTTAGTCAGGGAGAAGGACAGAAGAATGATTATATGATCAAAGCTAAGTTGTTGAAATTCCTGAGTGTCCATTATTCACAGAATCTGTCATCTTTGGCAGCTTTATTTATCAAATTATGCTTGCCTCCATTTGTGTCATTTCTGTAAGATCATCATTATGCAAATTATGTAACATGCAAATGACACAGTCTGAAAAATGAAGGTTCAATATATGTAAATAACTAAAATAAAGTAAATACAACTAGAGTATTGTTATTTGAAATGCTCATTGCATTAAGGTTTATCAAATTGAGGTTTTTTTCGATAAAGATATTTCAGTTTTTTTTAAAGTATAGAACTCTGAAAGGAATTTAAGTTTTAAATTTTGATTATGGTTAAAATTTAGGCTGGCAGTGTATACTGATAAATCCTTTTGTTTAGTTATTGGGCAGGCAAAACTTTATTTTGTATCAGATGATATTGTAATATGTTTAAAACGGGCATTCTGACAGGCATGCAGTTTATTAGCCCAAGAAATACTATGATTTCCTAGGAAAGGAATTTTAGCCCAATTTTCTCCTTACTCTAAACTCTAAGACATAATACCATAAAGATACAATATTGATGAATTGCTGGAATGTCATATGTTTCATGCACAGAACTGAACTGCAGAGGACCACAGCATGCTCAGAACTGTGGCCAGACATGAATTTATTTCATAAATATATTGCTATTTTCAAAAATGCTATTGTTGGAAGATCAAATTGTACATAAGCTCCTAACTATTTTTACTTTCAAAATGTTGACATGGCCATTAAGATCTACAATGGAAAAGTCTCCAAGAAGTGAGGTAGATAGCAGAAGGTGAAGCGGCAGATATGGAAAGTGGCAACTTCAGCCAATACTGCAGATGCATGTGGTGACTTGGTTCCAGTAAAACTCTCAAGCTTATTTTGCACACAGTTTTTTATTCAGTCTTGCTAATGTCATTCTTGAGGAATTTAGTAGTGTGTGTTTACTTACCTTGTCTTTCCAACAAGAATTACACTGCATCTTCTATACTTCGATAGCTCTGGAAACGCATATGAGTTTAACAGGGGAAGCGAGTGGAGCAGGAGAAAGAAGAGGGAGAGAAAGGAGAAGAAATATTCTTCACAATAAATCTGTGCATAAAATATTAGCAGGAGCTAGTCTTTGGCCCATTCATTATATCAGTGAAGTCCATGTTACGGAGATATGAATATTAAGCTGTAAGTCTTCAAATTACATCTTTATAAGAAGAGGAACATCTGAAAGTACAATCTTTGAGTCAGATGTGCTCTTTGAAATAAGTATCCTAATTATAGCAGTCATAACTGAACATTAATTTAATGAACATCCTCATTTGTTAAGAAAAGCTTGCCAGAGAGTATGTATTGCCATTAAAACTACAAATCTCCTAATGAGCAGAGACAGCAATGAGTGGGATAAAACAGGTAGATTAAAAGTCAAATCCTGTAATTGAATGCTAGCTACCATGGAAAACCATATATTCACTCATATTTCCTTTTTCACGGTTGTATCCACAGACTCTGAAATTGCCCATGAAATAACTGCATTTGTGATGGATTAAATCTCCCGGTGACCATATTTTATTTTATAATCTGCATTAAAGCATAAAGATCCTTTTTTATTCTAGTTGACAAGTTTAATAGCAACATAAGGATCAGTAGGAACAATCCAGAAGACCAATGATTTGATGGAATGTTTGAACATATTTTTAATTTTAGCACATTTTCATTCTGGCTGGACATTTCTGGTTCAAAGACAATCTACCGGTAATCTTTTCTGAATTCTAAAATATACACTATACTGAAATGTACAGAATATGTCCATATCCTCTGTAGCTTTTTAGATAGCTATATAGCCATATAAACAGACCTGCCTTTGTTTATGAGATTATAGAGGTTGTATTTTAATGTGATTCAAATCTGAAGTATTGGGAATGAATCAGAGGTGGTATTCAGCAGATTCTGACCAGTTCTGGAGAACCGGTAGTGGAAATTTTGAGTAGCTCGGAGAACCAGCTGACTGGCCCTTCCCCTATCTCTTCTCTGCCTCCCGAGTCCCAGCTGATCAGCTGGGTCTTCTTTTGTTGCCCTGCACAGGAGAACAGAGCTGGAAAGCAGGTTAGTGGGGGTGGGGAGGGAATGGGATTTTGCAGTAACCTTCCCTTGCCCTGCCCACCAAGCCATGCCCACCAAGCCAAGCCACACCCACCAAGCCATGCCCACAGTATCGGTAGTAAAATTTGTTGAATCCCAATGAATGTCAGTGACCCTTTTCCTAAATTTATTCTGTCCTGTCTCTCTTCTAGCAAAGTTCAAGTAAAATCTCAAAACTTCCCTTTATATTAATTCAGTTTAGTACGTTTGCTAAATCTTACTATATTATATACTGATCTTTAGTTAGAAATATGCAATTGTCACAACTTGATGTGATCAATCTAAAAATGGAAGCTTCCAGACATGCTGGATGAAAAAGGACACAGAATTCTCCATTTTATGGCTTTGTAACAATCAACAAGAGTTCCAAACATTCCATCTATACAGCTCAGTCCTTAGGAAAGATTGTTGCTATATAAACACTGCAAACTACAATGTTATTACATTAGGATAAAAAGCACAAATATTATAATATATTTTACTTGGACCAGTTAAAACATTTGCTAATTTCTCCCTCTTTTATAATGGTTAAACTAAGCCAATGTGGAGTTTTGGACTAGAATTTGGAAGAGCCCATTTCTAGAGTAGTTCAATCCCAGCCATCAACATTGGTAATTTAGAGCCACTCATTGTCTCTCATCCCGACCTATCCAGAAGAATAATGTAGGAAAATCCCAATACAGGTAGTCCTTGACTTACGACCACAATTGAGCCCTCCATTTTTGTTGCTGAGTGAGACATTCGTTAACTGAATTTCGTCCCATTTTACAATCTTTCTTGCTTGTTAAGTGAATTAATACAGTTGTTAAATTAGTAACATGGTTATTAAGTGAATCTGGATTTCCCATTGCATTTGCTTGTCAGAAAAGCAGATCACATGACCCTGGGATACTGCAACCATCATAAATGTGAGTCAGTTCCCGAGAATTTGAATTTTTTTTTTAAAAAAAGTTTTATTATTTTTTTAAGACAAACATAGACAAACAAAACATAAAAACATCAAGCCATCTTCCATATATATATATAGATACGTACAGTGTGTCAGTTGGTTTACAAATTGTTTTGTGCTTCCACTTCGTAGTCTTCAATTACAATTACATTGTATATATTCTCATATTGTCAATCAAATATTCCTAAATACATTGATATCATTATTAATTAATCATTTGACTATACTATTATTCATTCATGTTTTACGAGATAATCCATATTTTATTTAATTTGTTTTATGACAGTTCATATTATCTCAGATCTATCCTACAATTATTTCGTAGATATAATAAAAAAATACATCTTTAAATATTCATTATGTTCTAAAAATCTACATATTTCATTACCATGTTTTATAGAATAGATCCCAAATTTTATAAAATTGTTTATCATCTTGTTCTCTGATTTCAAATGTCAATCTACTTATTTCAGCACATTCCAATATTTTCTTAATAAATTCCTCCTGTGATGGTATTTTCTCATTTTTCCAGTTTTTGGGCAAATACAATCCTAGCTGCTGTTAATACGTTTACAATCAAATATTTCAATTCTTTACTATATATTTCAGGTAAAATTCCCAATAAAAATATCTCTGGTTTCAAATCTATATGCTTTTTTGTCATTTTTTCCAACCATGCGTGGATTTTAGTCCAATATTTTTGGCATCCGTGCACGTCCACCACATATGGTAATATGAGCCAGGTATCTGATGACATTTCCAACATTTTTCAGACTTGTTCTTGAACATTCTTGCTATTCTTGTTGGGGAAAAATGCCACCTGTAAAACACCTTATACAAATTTTCTTTATATGCTGTTGACATTGTCATTTTATAATTTTGAGACCACAGTTTTTGCCATTTCTCTAAATCAATCCCATATCCAAAATTCTTCCCCCAAGCAATCATTGTTTCTTTAACTTGTTCTTTTTCTAGTTTAATTTCTAATAAATATCCATACAGTTTTTTAATTACCTTTTCATCAGTACCTGTCAAAATCTTATCTAAATCAGTCAATTTATCATAGAAACCTTCTGTTTTAGAATCTTTATCACACCTAGAATGTATTTGTGCATATGAAAACCAATTCATCTTTATACCTTGTTCCTCTAGTTTTTGCATAGATTTAAGTTCACCCTTTTCATTCAATATTTCACCATATCTAACTGTTTGTTCCTTTTTGTATATTATAGGATAGGAAAAAGCTTCAATAGTCAATAGCCAGACTGGAATTTTCAAATAACATTGCCTTTTAGTCTTCTCCCAGTTTAACCACAGAGACTCCCGTATATAATGTCTTCTAAAATACCCCTGTGTTTTAGTTCCTTTATACCATAAAAAAGCATGCCACCCCAACAACAGATCATGTCTTTCTAATGTCAACAATCTAGCATTTCTTAATGTTATCCATTCCTTAACCTACATCAAATTTGTAGCTTGGTAGTACAACTCCCAATTAGGCAAACCAAATCCTCCTCTTATTATAGCATCTTGCAAAAGTTTTAATTTTATTCTCGCTTTCTTACCTTGCCATATATATTTCAACACGATTTTATTTAAATCTTCAAGATAATCTTTTCCAAGCCTAATTGGAATTGTTTGGAACAAATATAAAATTCTGGGTAATATATTCATCTTGATTGTTGATATTCTCCCTATTAATGACAGTTGTAAATTTTCCCATTTTTCCAAATCTAGCGCTATCTGCTGCTTAAGTTTAATATAGTTATTCTCTTTTAGTGTACTACATCTTGCTGTCAAATGTATCCCCAAGTACTTGATCTTATTTGTGACCTGGATTTTTAATACATCTGTCAGTTCTTTCTTTTGTCTTGATAACAGATTATTTGTCAAAATCTTTGTTTTGTCTTTATTTATTTTCAAACCAGCCACCTTCCCATATACCTCTATCTTTTCTATCAATTTTAATGCTGTTTCTAGTGGGTCTTCTAAGATGAAAACCAGATCATCTGCAAATGCTTGCAATTTAAATTCTTCTTTTTTAATTTTCATCCCTTTTATGTCCTTTTCATCTCTAATATTTCTGTTTAGCACTTCCAAGGTTAACACAAGCAACAAAGGTGACAGTGGACACCCTTGTCTTGTTCCTTTTCTTATATCAATAGAGTCCGTTAATTCTCCCTCTATCATTACCTTTGCTGTTCGCTTATGATATATAGCTTCTATTGCATGGATGAATTTTTTACCAAAACCCATCCGTTCCAGCTGTAATAACATGAATCGCCAATTCACATTGTCAAATGCCTTCTGTGCATCTAAGAATATCAAAGCCATTTGTTTTTCAGGGTGTGCCTCGTAGTATTCCAAAGTGTCCAAAATTACTCTCATATTGTCTTTAATTTGTCTCTTTGGCAGAAATCCATTTTGATCAGGATGGATAAAATTATTTAAATATTTTTTAAGTCTTTCTGCCAATATTGAAGCAAAAATTTTATAATCTGTGTTTAGGTGGGAAATAGGTCTGTAATTCTTGATTTGTAATGGGTCGGCCTCCTTCTTTGGGATAAGTGTAATATAAGCTTCTAACCATGATTTAGGTATCTTCTTCTTTGACATAACTTCATTCATAACTTCTAGCAATGGAAGATTCAACAATTCTTGTAATGTTTTATAAAATTCTGCCGGAAGTCCATCTGGGCCTGGTGCCTTTCCATTGTTTTGCTTCTTAAGTGCTTCAGTTAACTCCATCATCGTTATATCGCTTTCTAACATTATTTCAATCTCTTTAGGCATCTGGGGTAGGTTAGCATTCTGTAAGTACTGTTTAACTCTTTCATCATCAATATTCTCTTGTATGTATAGTTTCCCGTAGTAGTCTCGTATAATTTCCTTCTTCTCTTTACTTCCACAGCAAACTTGGCCTTGATCATCTATTAATTGCAATATTTTCCTTGATTCTTTCTCCTTTCTCAGTTTCTCAGCTAACCATCTACCTGGTTTATTTGCATCTTCAAAATAGATCTGTTTCGCACCTCTGATTTTCTGTGCTAATTCTTCTTTTTCCATTAATCCCACTTTATGTTTAATTATATCCATTTTTAACTTAATGTCCTTTTTCTGTGGCATTTTCTGCAACTCTTTTTCAAGTTCTTTATACTCATCCTCTAATGTCTTAGAGGCTAGTCTTTTCATGGTATTTCTTTTCCTTGTATAGTCTATTATCAAGCCTCTGGCATATGCCTTCTTTGTATCCCATACATTCTGCGTTGATGTGTCTTCTTTTTTATTTTCTTTAAAGAAAAAAGCCAATTCTTTCTCCATCCTCTGTATGAAGTCTTTTTCTTTTAGTATAGTATTATTTAACGTCCATCTAGATCTTCTGTGTCCTTTCCATTTAATTGTCATTGGATTATGATCTGCCCAAATACTTGTTTCAATATTTATTTCTTGCATATTGGCTAACAATTCTGTTGACATCCGTATCGTATCTAATCTGGACCATGATGAATGTCTGTTTGAATAGAAGGTGTATTGTTTAGTCTTAGCATTTCTTTCTCTCCATACATTTTTTAAATTTATTTCATCTGTCATTTTAAAAAAGGATTTAGGGAGGGTCTTTCTATTTTGCTTTGTTGTTTTCTGTGTTGTATAGTCCAGTTTATTGTCTACAATTCCATTGAAGTCTCCCATCATAACAATATTAGCATAGTCCAGTTCAATTATTTTCATATGTACTTTTCTATAAAATTCTTCTTGATTGTCATTCGGGGCATAGATTGCGATAACGAGTGTTTTCATATTATTGTCCATTATTTCCACCATTAATAATCTTCCATCGTCATCTGTATAGATCAATTTTATGGGGATAATATCTTTAATGTATAAAACCACTCCTCTTTTCTTGCATTGTGTCAAAGAAGTAAATATTTTCCCTAACTTTGGCTGTATCAACAGTTGTTCATGTTGCTTTTTAATATGTACTTCTTGTAGGCAGGTTATATCAAATTTTAATTTCTCTAATTTATGGAAAGTTTTCCTTCTTTTAACAGCTGAATTAAGTCCCTTTATGTTAATTGTAATCAGTTTTTTCTCTTCCATGTTTATACTTTATAAGTAGGTTTAGCAGCTCTTGTAGATCTTGGTTCATGTTGTTCCTTAACTTCCACCTTTCAACCTACTGCACCTTCTTCTTTTTCAGTCGCTATTTGGCAATCCTCTTGGAATTCAATTAGTAACATTTCTTTTTCTGTCTCCTCCGCTCTCCCTCCAAAGTATTCAGTATAAAACGATTCAGCTTTCTCAATTGACCCAATTCTGTGTCTCTGTTCTTGCCATGTGAACATTAAACCTTCTGGAATCAGCCATCTATAATTCACCTCTTTTTTAAGTAGGATTTTAGTCAGGAATCGGTATTCTCTTCTCATCTCTCTCTCTTCTGGGCACTTGTTTCAGCACCACAATCTCCTTATCTTTATATTTCAATGTTTTCTCTCTTGCCACCTGCAATATTTGTGTTTTAATGGCTTTCTTTGTAAATCTGATGTGAACTTCTCTTGATAAGCTATTTCTCATTGCATATCTTGTGAAGACTCGAAAAACCTCATCTATTCCATCCATCATCTCTTTGGTTATTTCCAGAGCTTCAGCCAAGATTTCTATCATTATCTCAGCTAAGTTTTGTCCGTTTTCTTCCTCTATGTTTTGAAATCTGAGATAAAATTCTGATCTATCCATCTCCCATCTCAGCATCCCACTTTTATCTTGTTCAACCACTGTTAATCTGCCATCAATATCTCCAATCTTCTTATCTCTTTGTTTATCTTCTTCAATTTTTTTGAATTTCTCATCATACTTCATCATCATTTGTTGAATATTCTCCATCTTTTCATCAGTTTTTTCTATTCTCCTTTCAATATTCTCTGTTCTTGCTTGTATGCTTTGAATTCCTTGCATTATCATCTGCAATGTCACCTTTTCCTGTTCTTTTTTGTTGTTGTAACATTGTCTGTATTGAGCGTTGTCCTCCGGATGGTCAAGAGGAAGAAGCAGGAATTGAAGAACCAGCCGCTGTTAGTTTCCTGCTCATTTTGGACAATTCAAAATCTTCAGGTTCTTCTAGATGTTAATCCACTCGTGAAATAACCAATTGTAAATCCAAGTAAAAATAGTGGAAAAAAAGAAGCAAGATAGAAAAAAAAAATTTCTTCAGGTTCTTGTATACCTTAATCCAATCAATTAGTTAAATAGCAGTAAAAGCTCAAAAAAGGAAGAAAAAAAAAAAACCATAAACAGAGAAAGGAAAAAATTGTTAAATCTTGTAGAAGGTAGAGAAATAAAAACTAAAAAACTAAAAAGAAAAAGGAATTTCTTCAGGTTCTTCAACACCTTAATCCAATTAAAAAGACTCAGGTATGAAAAAGTATACAAAAAAAAAAAGGAAGCCACACACACACACACACACACAAATAATATAGAAGGTAAATAAAAAATGCAGGAGAGGGAGAGAGAAAAAAAGAAAAAGCCTACTCCCTTAAAAAAAAGAAGGAAAACGTTAATACTAAGACTTTTCCTTTAAAATAAAATGCAAAAGTAAAAATAAGACTCCAAAAGCAAAAAGAAAGACAAAAGCAGATTCCAAAAGTCCAGAGATCCAAATAACTATTACAAATAATAAGCTGTTAAGGAGGGGGTGTAAGGAATAGCCCAACTTAAAAAAGAGAAAAAGAACACACTGCACCTATTTAGTTATCCAAGGCTTTTGTTAATTTTATAGCTCTCTTCTCTAGACTCTTATCATCTTTTTTCTGTATACTTCAACACCAGACTCCAGCTACTGATAGAAACCCAGAAGGGCACCTGCAATAACACTCTCCCATGCTCTTCCCTCTATCTTATCAGACAGGCTCAGAGTCCTTGAAAAGAAGTCTGAATTCTGTCTCAGCTTTGTCTGGTTGAGAGAAAAAAAGAGAAACAATATTTCTAAGCCTCTAGTTGGCAGTGTTACAAAGTTTCCTCTGTTTTCACTTTCCCCCTCCTTTTCAAAACAAATTATGATAAAAAAAATTAATTAAAAAGGAAAAAGGGTTTAGGGAAAAAAAAGGCTAAAAGGGGATTTCTAGCCTAAAATATTGTAAAGACAAAAAGGAGAAGAAACAAAAAAGAAAAATAAGATAGAAAAAAAAGACCAGTCCAGTTCAAAGTAAAAAATCGTATACAAAGAGTCCAACAAAAAAAAAAGAAAAAATTAATTTGACTTCCCATTTAAAATCGCCGCTTAATTACTTCTGTCTGAGATTTTACAGATTCTTTCTTTTCCTTAGGGTGTCCTTTTAAATCTTAAAGTAAAGAAAAAATTCTCACCAAACCGGCACACTTTCTCTTTCTATCCTCTTCCATTTCGGAGCTGTCCCAACTTCAGCAGCTTTAATGGCTGCCTCTTTGTCGCTGGCAAAAAGAGCTTCTCCTGGATCTACCAGGGACTTTGCAATATTCCTGGGATCGACAGGATGCGCTCTTTACATTCACCGTCTCTTCGGGACGGTTTAGATCCGTTTGGACTGTCCAGTTGCAAAGATATCGGCAGTGATCTCAGACCTCCAAGATCGTATGCCGTATCGTCGCAACGCCAGCTCCGACCTCCAGAATTTGAATTTTTATCACGTGATCATGGAGGTGCTGCAACGGTTGAAAATATGAGAAATGGCCATAAATCACTTTTTTCACTGCTGTTGTAACTTTGAATGGTCACTATGAACTATTGTAAGCTGAGAATTCCCTCTATAAGCTGACTTGACTGTGCAGGAATGATATACAGGTAGTCCTTGAGTTATGACCACAATTGAGCTCAAAATATATGTTGCTAAGTGAAACATTTCTTCGGCCCCATTTTATGACTTTCCTTGCCAGAATTGTTAAGTGAATCATTGCATTTGTTAAGTTGGTTGTTAAGTGACTCTGGATTCCCCATTGATTTGCTTGTCAGAAGATTTCAAAAGCTGATCACATGATCCCTGCAACCATCATAAATATGAACCAGTTGCCAAGTGTCCGAATGTTGATTATGTGACCACGGGGATGCTGCAACAGTTGTGAGTGTGAAAAACAGGTATAAGACACATTTTTCAGTGCCGTAACTTTGAATGGTCACTAAATGAACTGTTGTAAATCAAGGACTACCTGTAATACCTAAATAAGCTACTGTTATTTGTTTTACATTAAATAGCTTGCATTTCTAAACCAACTTTCCTACAGTTGAGTTAGATCAGGGGTGTCAGACTGGATTTCTTCGAGGGCTGGATCAGCGTTGTAATTCTCCTCTGCGGGCCGGTGGAGGGGTGGGGGTGGGGACAGGGGGTGGGGTGGAACATATGCCTCCTGCAAGCACTCTGCCAGCTGAAAATAGGCCACGGGGCCTGTTTCAGGGCCCTTTTCAGCTGACAGAGTGCTGCAGGAGGCCATGGAGGGTGTAAACAAGGCGCAGAGGGTCGCTCGCAGCCTGTTTTAGCTGCCAGAAGCACTGTAAGCCAGTTCTTTGATATTTCCAGACTGGGCCCATAGGGCGGATTTAAGCACCCCGTGGGTCAGATTCAGCCCATGGGCCTTGAGTTTGATACCCCTGAGTTAGATGAAAACAATATCTTTAAATTTGAAAACTTGACATAAAGATTATTTTTAGTTAAATAATTAAAATGAACTTTTGTGGCAAAATAAAGCACAAAATTAGGAAACACATTTAAACACCAAAGTGTTTTCAGAAGCAGCCCAATGTGGAGTGCATTACGATAATTCAACTTCAAAGTAATTGATGTGTGAAGCTCAGCAGAGTGCAAACAAATTATTTGCAACTCATAGAGAGTAAGTCTGGGTTTCTAACACAGCCTGAAAATTCAATAGCAAGATTAGATACACTAATACCCACATATTGTAAATTGTGTCGTCCTCCCTTTATGGTTGAACTCTTTTCCTGTTAAAGTATAGTCAATTTCCCCTCATTTAGATCTTTCTTCCTTACTCAGATGCATATTGATCAAGCCACTTGTTCAGGGACTTTCTGTTTTCACCTGGAATGGATTAAAAACAGCAACAAAATATTATTGGTGACTTCTTTTACCATTGCTTTAATTATCAGAACTGTGAAGAATTCAATAAGACAGATTTTTGAGGGACACTAGCATTTGGCAGCAGTATTCCAAAAAGCCCTCTTCTAGAACTAGAAACCCAGCCATAACATCAAAAAAGCATTCCACATGAATAGAATGAGTTGTGTGTTTTTGAACCAGGATAGTTAACAGATGATGAGTTTGCTAGTCTGTTTCCTTGAAAAGGTTTCAACTTGATTTGAAATAAGGCACAGAGAGATTTCAATCACCTACATAATTTGAAGATGTTTGAAGCAACACATTCTATTAAGTGATCTATCTTTAAAAGACAAGTTAGAATTGGCCAATGATTTGTCAAGGCACTCAGGATGGGAACTAACAATGATCTCTTTTATGCAAAGACAATATTTCCTTTCTCTTCAAAAAAAGATTATTCCTACTTTTGTACCTACCAAGAGTCTGTTTCAAGAGAATAAGCATCTCATCTGCATACCTGAGTGCTATTAAGATTTAAGACATTCACATTGATAGGAAAGTTAAAATGACAACATTTCATTCCCTTAGTTGCCTCATCAGTTAGTTTTATATTTACTGTCTTTATTCTTCGACACACAGTTTAAATCACTTTATAATCCAATTAACCTAACCTG